TCGGAGAAGATCAGAAGGCGACGCAGACGGAGATCGACAAGGAACGAAACCTCTTCACGGTGCTCTACTACCAGGAGGAGGATGGAGAGTTGGAGGGACCGCCGGGGGAAGGTGATTTGGAGCTTGACCCGGCGGGAGATGAGGAAGTAGTTGAGGAGGAGGAGGAGGAACCAGCTCCGGATGACGGGGAAGAGTGGTTGAAGAAGATTGAAGAAGAAAAGGACTTTGAGGTCCAACAGCTCACCCTGGTGGAGATCGTGAAAACTAGGGGGGAAGCGCTGGAGGCCATTGCGAAGATGACCACAAAGCTACGCTATCATGGACTACCTGTCAGGCGGCTTCACAGCGACCGAGCAGGCGAGTTCACGTCCAAGAAAGCCAAGCGATGGGCCACGGAACGCCTCATCATGCGGACGTTTACGGACGGTAGCTCGTGGAAGATGAATGGACGAGCTGAGGCAGAGGTTGGCTTCATCAAGCGGTTGACCAAGACGTTGCTCAAGGGCTCAGGAGTTGAGGAGAACCTATGGCCGCTGGCAGCGCGGCATGCGGGAGAGCGGAGGTGGAGGTCGCAGCTTGAAGCAATGAACTACCCGGTCAAGCAGTTGAGAGCTTTCGGGAAGGCGATGGCGAAGACCAAGGCCTGGACCCGGTCCAAGGATTGGGAAGCGGCCAGGGAGGCGGTGACCATCTTGGGGCCGGACGTCACTATGTCGGCATCTTCGGGAGGGTACTTTGTCCAGGGGGAGGATGGGAAGTTTTTCCACACCACCGATGTGATTGAGACGGAGGATCAGCCTGAAGAGGAAGGGCCACCTGGTGGTGGTGCTGGAGCAGAAGGAGGAGGGCCAGGAGGAGGAGGTCCACGGAGAAGGATTACGTACAAAAGGCCACCTGAGCTAGAAGACCGAGAGTGGGAAGCAGACCTGAGGGCTTTGGCGATGGAATGTCAGGCTTGGGGGAGGCACATGATGGAGGAGGAATGGCGTCTCGGTGAGGAACAAGGCGCGGACCATGACTTGGTGAAGAAGACCGTCGGGATGTTGGCGGAGGAGGACGCTCGGGTGGGGGCGTGGTTGGCAGCGATGCAAAAGGCTGAGGACTTGGATCTGGAGGAGACCTGTGCGAAAAAGGCGACAGAAGAGGAGGTCTTCTTGCAGACCAAGACCTACGCCCTGGCAGACGTGAAGAAGGAGATTGAGGCCTGGAGGCCATCGATGGTGGAAGAGAGAGCAGCTTTGCTGAAGTCTGGCGTGGTGCGGGCCATTAAGCCACGAGAAGCGGAGGAGTTGAAGAGAGAAGCGTTGGAGAAGGGCATTCCGTATGACCGGGTGCCGGGGAAGGCGGTTTTCACAAGAAAGGCAGCTACAGGGCGCCGGAAATGCCGAGGAGTTGCCTGTGGAAACTTCATGTCGGAGCGGCCGGCCACGGATACCTATGCGGGAGGCATTGATGCTTCTCAGGTGCAGGCGATGGTGGCTGCTGGAGCACAGCGAGGGTGGGACCTGGCGGGGGTTGATGTGAAGACGGCCTTCCTACAGGTGCCACCGGGACGTTCCAAGGACATCGTGGTGGTCAATCCGCCTGCCATCTTTCAGGAGTGTGGGATTACGGAACCTGGAGAACTTTGGGCCGTTGAAGGTTCGGTCTGCGGGTTGACCACCTCCCCGAAGGACTGGGCGAAGCACCGCGATCAGACCATGGGCGAGATCAGTTGGGAGATGACAGATGAGGAAGGCACATGGTCGTGCTGGTTCGAGAAGACGAAGGAGGTTAACTTGTGGCGGGTGAAGAGTCGGAGACGGGGGAAGAACGAGACCATCGGCTACATGGCGGTCTACATCGATGACATGCTGGTGACGGGTGCTCGCAGGTCGGTGGAGGCGGTGTTGGCAAAAATTCGGGAAACCTGGGACACGAGTGAGCCGGACTGGGCTTCTGCCACGGAGGATTTGAGATTCTGCGGCTTTGAGTTCGCGGTGGATGCTAGTGGCGTGAAGATGCATCAGCAGAGCTACGTGACCGACCTCCTGGACCGGCACCAGATCGTCAAGGGTGACACGCTGGCGGGAATTGGAGTTCCTGAGGAAGAAGATCCCCCCAGCCCGAAGGATGTGCACAAGGCGCAGGTTGTGACCGGGGAGCTGCTGTGGCTTTCGGCACGAACGCGGCCCGACATCACGTACCCCGTAGCCGTCATGGGTCAATGGACCACAAGGAGGCCTCAGGGCGTGGTGAAGATCGGAGAGAAGGTGCTGCAGTATCTCTGGAGGACTGCGAAGGAAGGGCTACACTATAAACGCCTCGGTGAAGGTGATCATGGACCTGACCACCAGCAGCATCGTGAGCGGCGGCGGGATGCGGTGGAGTCCTACGCGGACGCGTCCTTCGGAGCCCACGAGAACAAGTGTATCTCCGGCATGGCGGTGTATTACTCTGGTTGCCCTATTTTTTGGGCTACCACGCGTCAGGCGTGTATTGCTCTCAGCACGGCAGAAAGCGAGTTGGCCGCCCTCATCGAGGCCTGGACGGCTCTGAAGGGGGTTGGTGGCCTGGTGGAGGAGCTAGAGGAAAGCCCGGCGGAGCTGCGGCTTTACAGTGATAGCAGTGCAGCCCTGGCCATCGTGAATGGAAGTTCGGGGAGCTGGAGGACCCGGCACTTGCGCATCAGAGCGCAGCGCTCACAGAGGCAGTTCAGCAAGGGGCAATCCAACTTCAACATGTTCCCGGCCAGAGCTTGGTGGCAGATGGCTTCACGAAGCAGTTGGGGGCATCGCCTTTCGGGCGCTTCAAGGAGTCGTTAGGCTTCTATAGCGGAGCGGAGGAGGTTGGCGAGGGCCAGGTGAAGATTGTCAAGGTCAAGAAGCTGGAGTTGGGTCGGAATGAACAACTGGAGAAGGTCCTGGGTCTCCTTGTGGTGGGCTCGACCGTGTGGAGTTGGCAGAAGCAAAGGAGCTGGATGATGATGGCGCTGGAGGAGAGTATGGGTGGTTGATTGTGATCACGGCGGTGGTGGTTTTGCTGAAGCTGGTCAAGGAGATCGGGCTGACGGCGTTGAGGCACTGCTTGCGAAAAGAGGAGGAGCTTGGGTTCCAAAGGCTCTGTGAGGAAGCGGTGCTACCGGAAAGGCCTACGGAAAACGCGGCTGGAGTGAACCTTTTCGCGATGAACCAGGTGGTGGTGCCGGCGGAGAGCTACACGCTGGTACGGACGGGTCTGAAGGTCCAATTGCCGAAGGGGACGTGCGGGAGGATCACTGCGGTGGCAAGTTTGGCGGTGAGAGGAGTAGAAGCCGGTTCAGCAGTGATTGAGCGGGACTTCGGCGGTGAAGTGAGGATCTTGGTCAGGAACTACGGGCACGCAGACTACATCGTCAAGCCGGGAGGCCGTGGCGCAGATGGTGCTGGAGAAAGTGTCGGTGGCCAGGATCAAGGAGGTGAAGGGCTTTGACGGGCCCATGAAGAAGCCGAAGGACGAGGTGGGGCCTTCGGTGAGATCCCTCATTGGCGAGAAGGCGGCGGCTTTATCGGGGACTTCGACCGTTGAGTGGTTGCAGCCGGAGGTGAAGGGCTTCGGGAAGGTCGGTGAGAGATTGCGGCCGTGGAAGGCTACCCCAACGGGTGGAGGTGGTGATGACCCGCCGGAGCCGATCGAAAGGGCTTCGCAGGATGAGCCTGGGGAGGATGAGTGGCAGGTCGAGTTCTTGGAGAACGAGATCAGGCTGTCGCGCATTCATATGGCGAGGTACTGGGACTACATTCCAGGACGGCGAGATCTACCTCCGGGCATTCGGTTCGAGGATTTGGACCAGGTGCGAGTTTCCGAGATTGCGCCGGACGAGGAGAATGGCATGGTTTGGGAGAGGCTGGTTGAAAACTGGCAGGAGGAGCATTGGGAGAGACGAACGCCATGGAGGGGATCGTCAAACTTCCGGGTATTGAGGAGGGCCGGGCCCGAGGCGCGCGGATCAAGTTCGGCAGGTTTGGGAAGTGGAGGACCTCCTGAAAGGAGTGGAAATGGTGGTTCTGGCTCGGGTTCTTCGGGGTCTTCAGGAGGGGCACCGTCGGCTTCGGGGCCGGGAACTGCAAGTACGGCACGATTCGGGACATCGGGAACTACAGGAGGTGAGGGGGAGAGTTTGGAGGAGGGCGCGGCTAAGCGGCCTCGGGTGCGTGGTGAGGAGGTGCTCCAGAGGCGTTTGGTTGGCGCGGCTGGGCAGGATATGTTGGACCTTATGCGGATGGCCTTTTTCCAGGACGTAGAGGCGAGCGTGGTGCTGATGACCGAGATCTTGGCATCGCGGCCGCAGGGGGTGCGAGATGAGTGGATGGACGTGCCTCTGCCAGTCGGCATTGTGTTCGGCGTGCAGGTGCACAGGAGGGAGAGGCGGAAGCTCTTCGACACGGAACATCAGGGCTTCCATGAGATGAAGAGGACCGTGGCATGGTCTGCCCCTGGAGGAGGAAAATGGGTCGATCGATCCATCAGGCGCGGGCGCAAGGAGAAGTACGAGATCACGCCGTGGGTCGGGTACACGATCTTCGTGCGGGAGAAGGGGGCTTGAGCGCGGGCAGTTCTTTTGGCGGGCAAACCCTAAAAAGAGGGGGAGCCCTGAAATCCGCTTTGAGCATGAGATGTTTCTGGGGGACAACCCCCTGGTTTGGAGTTGCTGGACGATTGATCGGGGACAGCCCCTTTTTAGCTCAAGAAGGAAAACCGAGCGCCTGCTTAAGAGTCAGTGGTTTTAAATGGCTGATTAGGGTTTAAGCATCTTTGAGCCACCCTTCTAATGTTGACCCCATATTAATAAACCCTTGTGTAGTAATATGGGGCCGTCCCTGGGTTTAGTGGTGAATCTGCACTTTTGGAGGGGAACAACCACCACTTAATGAATTGGGGTTGCTTAATACTTTTGGGGTCAACATTCGACGCGGAAATGCATCGAACTACTAATCACCCCGCCCCCCCCCCTTGTCCGTCAGCCCCCTCTCGCACCCGGCCTCTGTCTCGATCTCTTCAAGAACTTTTGCATAATGGCTGCGAAGTTCCAACCTCAGGTAGGATTGCAGAAAGCTTACGAGTCCGAAATCGGACAGGGATTCCGGGATTCCCAATGGCCTTCAGGGTGAGCTCGCTTGAACCCCGAGTCGTGAGCTCTCAACATGCAGGCTGAACCCGACGGCTTCGCAACTCGCATCAGCGCAAGTCTGCAGCACTTACGTCGTACGTTTCCAGCAACGTCTGGAGGGGGTCCAAACAAAGAAGAAAACCGGACGGAGCTTGTGGCTAAGCACCCAACAAGGCGGGCCCTTTGCCATTTAAATGAGTTCATGGGAGCATCTGTGATGGCACCACTGGTTGCGCACTAGGGCCACCCAAAACAGTGCCCATGCCCCTTGGGTTCCTGTTGGAAAGCTTAAACAACTATGGGCTACTTGGAAACCGAACAACCAACGGGTTTGCCAACACAATGCTTGTCTATCTTTCAAAAAGCAACACTCAATGCTTGTCTAGTTGTTACAGTTCGCGGGGTGATTTGTGACAATTCACCGCACCAAAGTCTGGATTCCTACAACAGGAACCCCATCATGCTAGCCATACCCTCCCCATTATGTTCAGGGATCCATCTCGTCCCACAACGGAAATATATAATGATAATGATTTAATCAACCTGCATGAACCCTTCCTGTCCCCTTAACAGGTTCAGATCCTTCTGCTACGTACTTGGGAGGCCGGCACAGTTTAAACATATTGAAGGCATCAGAGCTACAGCATTGACTATTGCCAGTTTCCTCTCAACAGCAACTCCGCAGTGACTGGGAAAGGTGTCAACATTTCTTTTGGCAAGTTGGCAAAAACTCCGAAAGAT